ATACCAGGGACAATGGAGGAAGAAGATGGGACATGGCAGAGGGTGGGGGATGGGGAATCAGGAATGGCAAGACAAAGGGCAAGGTATGCAGGATGTAAGAATTGGAAAATTATTTGCTGAGAACATGTATGTTGATGTGCTTGATTGAACCAATGCACAGGGTATTTTGGATGGAAAATTCATTGGTGTGTTGTGATGGTGTATAGTGAATTAAGGTAGAAAATAGAAATTAAAAAAAAAAAAAGAATTGCATACTGTACTCGTGCCATGTGCTGTTTTTACACAACCGTCAGTGCAGTAGGTTTGGTCACAGCAGCATTACCACAAACACGTGTGTGATGTGCTGCACTAGGACTTTATGACAGCTGTGACATCACTGTGATAGGAATTGTCGATGAAAATAACCAAGCTCTGTAGAAGTAATAATTATCTATAGAAGTAATAATTAACATGGCGTATTTCAAGCACCATTGTGAGTGACAGGCCAGAAAAAAAAAACAAAGTGCTTTCGGGATGCTCAGATACAGTGGTTCTTTTTGTTCAGTTCCGAGAGCAGTAGACACGATAAGGTTGTGAATCAGCATAAGGAATCTTCATTGGACTGGTGCAAAAGGCAGAACTTCTAGGAGTGGGGGCTTGTATATTACAGGTGGGTTTAGAAATTCTTAGGTTAGTGATTAGTTAAGCAAGTCTTTGTCTCAAAAACACTTGGAATCATTAGAAAAGAATGAATTTAGGAACCAGCAGATGGTGTAATGGCTATATCGCTAGAATCCCATGTAGTAGATCACAGTTTGAGTCCCAGACCCGTGGCTTAGACTCACGCCAGGCGCGTGTGCGTGTGTGCCCAAGATCTCAAGAGGAGAATGGAGAAGGGATTACGGCATGGCCATCCTCCCTGGGGGGGGGGGGGGGTATTCTTCCTTTCTTACTTCTGTCTCCCTCTGTCTTTCTGGCGAGTGCACACACCCTATAACAACAACAACAATAAAACAAAAACAAACAAACCAAAAAACAAACCCTCTCAAAAAAATAAAAAAGAAAGGAAAAAGAAAATAATGAATTGTAATTTAACCTAAGGTCTTGTTACTCATCTGAGGGTGCTATGGCAAGGTCAGGTATGAGGAGCTGCCCACAATCACTAGATCAAAGTGATCTGTTACAGCAGAATTTGTGTTTGTAGACAAGACTTTCCCAGGCCTCTTATTAAGCATCTTATTAATAGACTAGATATTCAGCCCCATAGTCATCTTATGGGACCACTGTTGTATACGTGATCTTTAACTGACCAAACACGTCGTTATGTGAAGCATGACTGTATTTTGATTTACTTAAACGTGAGGAGTTGAAAAAAATTGTTCAAGGTCTTTTGCTTACAATAGCGCAAGAGTTCCAGGGAAGAAGTAAACCAGGGGTGAGCAGCAATGGCGCAGAGGGTAA